GCAGCAAGTTGTCGCCGACAACACCCTTGTCTTTGCTATAATCCTAGTGCGACGTCTATGCTTAAGGCGAACTCAAGAGCTAGTCCTTTCGACAAGTCGCAGCACGTACAGATCTCTCTGAACAACAAACACCAACAATTGAGACTGTGGCCAGCGACAATAGCATTAGCCGCAGCGAACCGAAAAGCAACAGCTCTGCCAATAATTGCAATGGACAAGGAAAGACCCCGACGACACGGATAGAGGCTAGAACGCACAAATTGACTAATAGACAGATACAGTGACACCTAGTGACTGAATAAGCTGAACGAACGTCTGCAGCAGCAGCGACGACAAACGAAACGGATCATGCAACGACAACTAGTGAAGGACAGAGTGTCGATTCCGGCGGTTGATTGACCTCGCCAACGACAGACTAAACTTTAAAGTCCCGTCCCAACCCGCTTTGCCCCTATTTTAGGAGGGGTTCCGCACCCCCAGTACCGTATCCTGATCATTTATCGGCTCTAACCAGTGCTGCTAACATCGAGCCAGCGTGTGTTGTTGATACTGCTTGATCTTTTTGGACCAAATGGGTCATCTAGACTGGCCAGCTTGTCGTTCAACCAACATCACTGCGCGTATGATTACTGCTGATACTAAGTGTGCTAATGCTAAAGTAAAATACGTGTATTGAGTTTTATGCCCTATATCGCCGTGAAACATTTGCTTGTTGCTGCTGCAACTATTATTTCTACAACTATGATTACTACTACTTATATATGTACTGCTACGGCGCGAACGTTCTCTCTTGTACGAACCGAAGCGACGCTACCAGTCGCCCAGACGGCTATGGTTAAAACAACGTCAACGGGAGGGGTAGCAGCAGAAGAACCATCGGCTTCAATGATTCGGGAGAAGGGGATACGTGTGGGGAGAGGTGGACTTCCTCATACGACCCTTCATGCGAACTCCGCCACGCGCTACACGTATGCACAATGCCCATAAGCGCCGACCACTTAAGTGACATAGAAACAGAGAGGAATTGCCAAAGGCACAAACGCACATATAAAGCTGTAGAGGCCCATAGCAACGTACGTCCATAAACAGGCGTACGTTTCATGGGGATGATACCCAGCTACTCTTCAGCACTGGGACATCAGCATCCATCGAGTCCCTATACAACGAGTGGAAGTCGAGCGAAGCCAGCGGTCCCTGGCGAGTTCGTTCTAAAGCTCTCTCTCACTGTCCCGTCTTCCTTTCTTTCTCTCTATTCTCTCTCTTTCTCGTTCTTTGTCTGTCTCCCAGAAATCGTTGTCTCCCTGATCTGTCGATCGGGAGGAATCATCAGCCGACACGCTACGCCAAATAGGGTCCGTCAGACCGTTCTTTATCCTAGTCGGTCTGGTCCATACTTCTCTTTCGATTTCATTTCGTTGTTCCCTTACTGCTGGAAGAATTGAGCCAGCTAGACAGGAACCGAGCCTCTTGCCAGCATCAGCAATAACCGAGCAGGCAGCCTCGGGCCAGCCAAGTTCTGTCGATCTCTTTTTGCCCAGTATCATATACTATATAGAGATTGGTGCTGGCCGACGTCACAATCAACTCAAAACACTGAACAAGCAAGCAACGAACCATAGACAGACTAAGCTCAAATGGTTGGTGGGCAGAAAGGCGGATAGGGCGCTGCACTGTGCACAGCACGGCAGAGGACAGTTCAGATAGAAGGTCTGTCCGCAAGTAGAAAGTGAAAACAGCGTGATACACACGCACACCCGCACAGAACAGAACATAGGAAGTAAGTTCGAAGAGACTGCGCGACCGCTTTTCGTTTACCGTCCTCATCATAGTGAGCGTCGACGTCATGTTTCTACACGTAGGGCTTTCGGATGGCTTGCCCTGGTGAACGGCGTCACCATGTGTACCACTCCGTTGAGTGCCAGAGAGCCATCCAGCTATCTAGTTGGCTGGCCGAGCAGGCCTCTTGCAGCAACGTTAGGTGCTGGTGGCGGACGTGGAGATGATGACAGTGCCGCTGAGGCCGTTGGACTTACGCCAGCGTCCAGCGTGAGCTAATGTCGGTGACGATAGCGGGCTTGCCTCATTCGTAGTTCCATCTGTGAGTTCGTTGCTACCGTCGGTTTTCGATGTAGGGAAGAGTCATGGTCATAGCAAAAGACAGAAGAACCAAGACCACTGGCCAGCGCAGCTGTAAGCTCTGGTTATTCGACCATAGCAATTACTACCGCCACCTTCTCTCGGGTGGTCCGTACCACAACTGAAGCAGATGGCGCTATAGTGAACGACAGCAGTGCGGCCTAGACGAACTTGCCTTGACGCATAACTAAGCACAGGCGTAAGCTGGCAACGTCAAGCGCGCGTTTTCTCATCACGAGCTAACATAGTGTGGAGGCTTACGGATGGCCTCATGGCTCTCATAAACTGCTGAATATACTAACGCATAGTGCGTTGAGTGGTCACGTTACACTATGCTAACAGACGAATTAACATTTTCAAAAAGACATCGAATGACACAGAGACGATCGACCAAAGCGGACTGAACACAATTTACTCGTTGCAATGGTAAAGACTTAACAAACACTTCAACGCCACTTATATCAGATTGAGCATGAAACACTAGCGCCATCTATGCGCGGTCGTAGAATGAACTAGCGTTGAAGGGGAGACGAAATTGCGATTTCTTGTTGACCTCGAATAGTTGTCCGCATACTTTTTGCGTAAAGCATAGCGCCGATACTCTTCAGTTGTTAGTTGGCACTAGATTGTCTTTGCTAGAGATTGTAGGTCATAGGTCCTGACGAGGGTTAGGTGGCTAAGAGTGAACGCGAGCTGCATGGTTCTGGTAGCATGGTATAATGAGATTTACGAGCTGAAGGTTGTGAGACTTCATGTCTAGGGTTGGCAGGAATAAATCGACCTAGTGAAATGTCGGACATCACAGATTTTTATGAAAGAGTCGTAACGAATTGAAAGAAATATTTTATCTATCACTTATTCAAATGTGCCCTCTTGCTTCAGTTGCATTGGGCAGTATGCTTTTATTATTATAGCGATTGATGGGAAACATAAGCTAGGAAACATATTTAGTGATATTTCACTAGAACGAAAATGAAGGCCGCTCGAATCTGTAACAGATAATGGTAACACGTAATAGCCGTTCAAGGTTCATTGAATAACAGCGCACATTTGTCTTTAGGTTCTCAAAATGGACGTAGCAATATCCAACGATATAGGAACAATGTTAAAGGCGCATATTACAGCCACAAATAACAGTATCGAGTACAAGACAAGGTTGAAAATAGAACGTTCTCGACAGACATGTCCGTTTTGACGAGATACCACTTATTTCAGATTTTTAAGGGAACTCATAATTGTTGCTAGACCAGGACTTTTCTGGGAAAAACTTCCAGGTGACATTTGCTAAGGTCGTTGCTTCGAACGTTGCCATTAATATATACTAGAGTCGATGCATGATGAAATAACGGAAGTTTCTTTTTGCCAAACACATAATGCGAACTAAACCAAATTTCGAAATTACAGAGACCTTTTTTTGAATAGATCTTGACAAACTCTACGGACCCATACGAAACGGCTTTTTAGTTCTTGGTATTTTTTACATTTGAGCGCTATTGCTATCGGGAGAATCTCACAAAATTCCTGTGCCACTAGTAGCCATCTATCTCCCAAGTAAATGAGGGACAGCAATGATACTTCAACAATTGATGCTCCTTCGCAAACTCACAAAATGCAGACTGCAAAAAGCAATGTCCTCCCGCCGATAAAAGAAGTGTGGGAACGCTATGCGTTCTGAAAGATAAAAACGTACTAGTTTGCCCGCCACCTTTTACGCTATTGCACTATTGAACTAATGCAAACACTTCGGAAAGGAAAAAGGTATATCCAATATTCTCATTCTTCACGACGCGTCAAATGAACTATTTTAACGGATAAATTAGTTCGAGTGGTCAATGTAAGCACAACTAAATATACATATTTAATTATCTATAGAAATACTCCGAGCATTGTAGGTCAGAGGACTGACAAACCTTATCGGGCTCGCGGACAACTAGATAGTCAAAGATAATTTAGAAGCGAGCATTCTACAAGCAAGAGTCTACAAATACAAATATCTACAAATAGATATAACAGCTATGGAGGTTATACAACGACGGTTCTAGATTTTCGGCTACGCTCTTTAAATCAGTCCGCATTAAATTTTCCCTGTGAAAATAGCTGTTTACGAAATAAGTATGTGTTATACGCTCATTGGACGCCACGCCATTCCCCACGAATTTGATTAGAGAACATCATTTTACGAATCTATATTACGAACCTGTCATTGTCTGAGCTGATCGCACACAGATGCAGAAGCTTTCTATTTCATTGATAAGATAAGATTAAAATTTACTCAGAACCCGTGATTATTTATATAACTATTAATAGAAGACTCGGGCCGAATACACGCAGTGGCAACTAAATACATTTTTAAAGTCATTGTGGTATTTATAACTTACAGTGTTATACGTTGACAATCTACATAATTAAAAATTAAAATCAAATTGCATAGATTACGTACGTTGTGACTACCGAAGTCAAGGGAAAACACCAAAGCTTTATGTTCCACTTGTTTTGTTGTTTTTATTCTATTTTTCATGGTTTTTTCATCTTTGTGCCGTCGCCATCATCTCTCTCTCTCTCTCTCTCTCTCTCTCTCTCTCTCTGTTCATAATGCTTAATTTATATATATATATATATATATATATATATATATATATATATATATCTTCTCTTATTAAATTGCTGATTCATACTTACACAATGTTACATAAGCCGGTGCGCCCGGTTAGGATGTTCTTGGATAGTCATTCGCTAATAATAATAACCAAATGAGAGCAATTTTTCATGATGATGTTTTCATCTCGTCTGCCATTTCTTTTCTTTTATTTTGCCTTTGTTCGACGATGATTCTATCACATGCTTTTCTTTCTCAGGTTCTACTTTATATATATATATATATATATTCTTGTATGTACTTATGTATAGATTTATTTCATATAGATATATCATCCCATCCTCAAACTGGGCAGCTACCAGCAAATATATACAACAGGACAAAGTCATCAGGCCGTTCGACCATCCTGTCCATCGGACCGATTGGCCGATGGGGCCAGGAGCACTACATGTTTTTCCCGCGCCACTGATGCCTTTGATACAAATATGTAACTATTTACATTTGATTTTACCTTTCTTCTTTAACATGGTATTTGCGTCTGTATGTTTCTTTACGTGTTCATCTCTCTCCTGTAAGTGCATCTCATCATCTCCAGAGTAAGAGTAATACGAATCGACGAACGTTGTCTTCTACCCCCTTTATAATTAATACCTTTTTCCTCTTCTTCGTATTGTTATTTTAGTTTTGATGCGTACAGTATATCGTCGTCATTGTCCTCATCATTATCTTCAATCTTAACATAATTTTAGAAATAGTATAAATTCCACATTGGCTAGAGAGAGTTTCTCTCCACCTGTTTTATCACAGATCACCCCCCGCTATTCTTCATGGGGATGTACCAACGGTCAATGACGTCTTTAGACACCTATCGTGCATCACATTTTGTAAACCGCCATCAGCTCACATTATGTGTATTACACGTCACCTTTCTTCCGTGTGTAATTGAATATAGGAAAGGAAATTGGGGCATTTTTCTCAGGCTCTAACGATAACACATCTATGGCATTCTCTTGACCTTCTCAGTCTCAAACTAATTTAGCAGTCATAACAGGAGTCGCTTGAATGTGTATGCGCGTTTGTGTTAATCAAATTCATCCCGTCGTCATAATCATCTGTATCATACTATTAGTAGTGTCACAACAAAATAATTCACAATGCAATAAAGCAGCATGAAATAAAGGTATTGTTGATTTGTTCGATGTGTTTGTTCTCTCTTTCCTATGCTGTTTTTGATCCTTAGTCGAGGCATACTATACTAAACTAGAAAAGAAACAGTTGGCGGGAATATCCCTATTAATTTTAAATAAATATATTTAAACTTTTTGTTCCTCCCTCTCTCGCTCCCCCTTCTGTATATTTCTAAAAATGTCTACCTCTGTATATATATATACTTCTATACTGTACATGTTCGTGTGTGTGTCACACAAATCATCTCAATTGTCGCCAACCCACCGCCAGCACTTCATCCTCTTGCCCACTCGTGCTTTTGGATTGCATCACTACTTATAGCGGTGGCATCGGTAGCAAGCGTCGTGACGACAGCTGACGCACACAATTCAAGATAGCCCTTTTGTCTGTAGGCAACACGGTTTAATTTGTACAATTTCGCAGAGAACAACGGAGACAATAATTACATAAATAAGAATAATAATAATAATGATATTAGAACACACAGACACGACTTGATCATAACGTTTTGCCTACAGCCGCCCCCATTACCATTAAAATGGTACATCTAACAGCAGTAGAAGTAGTGATAAGGGTAGCAATGTCAACGCGGTTCCGGACGTAAATCTCAAAACATTCAGTCGTAGCAGCAGAGTGAACGGGATCTACAATAGATGTAGTTGAAAAAAAAACAGGGCTGAAATCGAGAAAACCTGACGTGAATGCTCATTTTTTAGTTGTTCCTTGCCGTCGTCCGTTTTCGTCATCTCAGCCTTCTAACGAAAAAGAATTCTGAGCGGGTGAGTAACGTGAGAACCGAAAGCCACCTACGGCAAGCGGCTGCAGCAAAGCTAGAACTATCTGCCCTTTCCAATTCTGCCTATGTATTTACATTTGCGTCTCGCTCAACGTTACGCATTGAGGATTGGCGACTGAGGAGGTAACTCAGCTCTGTAGAGCTGGGTCTAATAACTGGGCTAGACAGTAACTGTGCTCAAATTCAAATGAGTGCAGAGGAAATTAGCAACTGTCGGATGTTGCCATCGCTAGTCGAGCTCTTGTATTGCAGTCTGTTGTATAGAGATAAATACAATGCTTGGTTATACTGAGTTGGTTGAGTCCGATCGATTCAAGAACGAGCAACCTGGTAAGAATGACACGTTCGTCAAGCGACCCTAGTTCAGAACAAGGGTGAGATTTAACGTCACCGTATGCTCGGTTGCAATGTGCTTTCTTTGGAAAACTATAGAGAAACCAGTAGTTCGCTGGAATGGTCGTGATGAGGATGCCGTAATGGGGGATGCATGACTGACTGATTCATTCAATGATTGAATGATCAGTTGATATAATCCTTTTCTATTCATAAATCAATCGCAGCGTATGCGGTTAGCAGTAATAGTATATGACGTCGTCAATCGACACATGTCTCTTGCTTCGAACTCATCCAGGCCAGCAGCTTCTGTAGTGGGCCATAATGCGTTTTTAGGCCTTACTGATGATCGGTGAGAACAATGAATAGCAGCTGTAATTGGTCTAACATGTATTATCTGTTCCCTATGGCGTTAACGAGCTCCTTCATCAACATCATCACAATCAGCATCGGCATCTTAGTTAGCATAATTGATTTGACTGATTGAACAATTGATTGATTGACTGATGACTGGAATCATGCACGAATTTATCGTTCGGAAATTGTCTTATGCTCAACTTCTTCATTTTTTTCTATCATCCTCATCATAACTACCGTACGGACTACTAATAGCAGAAGTTGTGAAAGTAATAGTAAGCACACATACAACTGCGCCTATCAAACTTCAATCGTGATTTTTCGCTATTTTCTCCGCTTCTCATCACGAGCCGTATCACGACGCCAGAACCGAGCGCCCCTCCTCAGGCATACCCCAGTAGGAGGGCCACTCCTGACTCCATTCCGCTTCCCAGCTGTCCTTGCAGTTGCCATAGCGAGGCGCCGTCATGTCCTGTAACGTGTACGTCTGCTGAAAGTCCTGGTAGGAGCTGGGTTGGAGCGGCTGGGCTGCCGTCGGCTTTGCGTACATGTCAATGTAGCGATCCTGACCGGCCTGTGTTGCTTCACCGTACGTGCTATCTTCGACGGCCTTACTCTGTTCGCTCGACAGGTTAAACATGGGATTGCTGTTCTCATGTGGTGGCGACTTCCATGGCGTCGTAAGAGTAAGCAGCTGATTATCGTGAGCGGGCGCTGTTGCGCGACCTGCTGCGTCTTGCGAACCACATTGGCCAGCTTGTGCCTGACTGAGCGCCTGGTTTCCGTTCTGTCCATCTTGACTGTGACTGCCCTCGGGATGGGGCGGAGACTTCCACGGAGCCGTCAGTGTTAACAGCTGCGAGTTGGCCATATTCTCCGACGAGTCCTCGGGGGCCACTGGCGTTGCGACAGGAACCGTGTTTCCTGTAATCGGTTGGTAAGAAGAACGACAACGTCATTGTTAGAGCGATTACAGGGAAATTGACGATCAGTAAACGACATGGATAAAAGAGAGAGAAAGCTAATTTTTCCATGTGCATATATATATATATATATATGTGTGTACGTATATATACATATATGTATATATATATATGTATATATATATGTGTACGTATATATACATATATGTATATGTATATATATATATATATATATATATATATATATATATATATATATATACATATATATATATATTATAACTGTAATACATACTACGGTACCGATTAGTTATTATCTCATCCATTTGCGTTGCATGAGCTCTGTTTTTATATTGCATTGATATTATGAACCTCTCCTTATAAAATGGTTGAGTATGTAAGTAGTAATAACACATAATTGCTATAACTAAGCAGAAAGCTTACCAAAATTGAGCACGGACACCGAATTGAGGAGGCGGTCCACGGTATCATAATCGGTTAGAGGCTCGTCACGAAACGCGACGAATGGTGTTAGTCGACCACTGTCCTCGCTTAGGTCTGCGAAAAGTACCGAACTAGCATGGGGGTCTTTTTGTGCGCTGTAGCGCTCATCGACACTCGGCTGGTTAAGTTCCTTACTCTGGGGTCCCATTCGAGGGTCCCGAATTGGGTAACGGGGATTGTAGGCGCCATGCCCACTTTGCACGGGATGCTGGCCATGTTGTGGCTGAGTCCATTCCGGCTCGTGGTAACCCTGGAAGCCTTCACGCAAATTTTGCGTGTTCTGGCCACCATGCGGGTTCTGTGGAACATTCTGCTGGTGGCGTCCACCAGCTACCGGTGGCAATTCGACGTACTCATCACGATAGTCCCGATAGATGCGCTCTTTATAGTC